AAAAAAAAGCACAAAAAACCACGGGGATTTGGACAATTTTTTTGAAAATTTGGGGTGGGGAGCCGGGAGCGACGAGGTGGGGAGCCGGGAGCGACAAGGTGAGGAGCCGGGAGCGATGGGTGGGGAGCCGGAAGCCAGGGTGGAGCAGGGAGCCAGAGCCAATTTGGACTTGGCTCTCATCCTGCAACCAGTGTAATCACAATCTCCCTTCCTTTCTTTCTTTCCTCTTTCCTTTGGCTGTGAGAGCACGCAATCCTGGCCACCTGCTACCGTTCCAGTCTTGAGCCATCATATCATAATTTGAATTGCCACTTGAGATTGACAAATTAGTGAAGGGATTGGGATGATACTGGTTGTTGTTGGTTTGCAATTATGTTCAGATTTGTGTTCTTTTGAGTTAACCCGCCCACTACTCCAATCATTTTGCGTTTCCTAGACCAGAAATTACAATCCAATTTCCTTTAATGACTTTGAATATGATTATTGTTTTTGGAGGTATGGTTTAAGGGCCCTGACCCTTTACGACTGTTACTGTGGGGGGGCAGGGCCCAAATTATATATATATATATATATTACTGAAACAGTCTAAAACCGCCCCTGGGATCCCTGGGACATATCTTGAAACTGAGGGGCGCAAATATGTTCTTTCACTTTCAAGCACCAGCTATGCCATTAATTAATATGCTGAACGACTAGCTGCATCTCAGCCACACTCAAGACTGTGCGACGATCGATAATCGTGGGCTTGAAGCAAAAGCAGCGTCAATGAATAGTCTTGTGGTACAATAAACATCAATCACTGCTTGTTCTATGAGTTGTAAGCATCTGCCCAACCATTCCGCTGTTGCATAATGTCAAACTGTTCCCTCCTTGGACAAATGACTTTTCACAAACAACCTTCGTAGTCGTAGGTATAACATCTCTCCTGATGTTCTGAACCCCGTCTAGATGTCAACCCTGGTCCCTTGGCGAAACCTGCATTCGCAGCTTGCCCGCCCTGATCGATGACGAATTGCGTCTCCTTCGATTGGCAGCTCAGGTTGTATGCAAATGTCCTTCACCGAGAGATCATGTCATTTGTCCCCGGCTCCTAGTGGCGTCCTTGCTCCTAGTAGCGATGCCCTTTTTCCTAGTAGCGTCATGTAGCGTCCTAGAGAACATGGCATGTCGCGGCGGTTCACGTCTTCGCTTCCCTGCCGCTCCGTCTCTTTCGAAGTGCCACTGCCATCACCTCTTGCGCAACAGAGTGGCAGTTGTTTTCGATGACCTTTAGCGTACTTGACAAACGGGTGCCTCGGACTCTTTTCAGGACTTGACGTTCAGGACTGTTCTAGAATTAAAGCTAATGGTAAATTAAAATTAGAATGGCTTTTTGGGGTCTTGTGGAAGTCACCGCGGATGTGTGTGTGTATATTATACAGTCATATTATGGATTGCATGGGTATTCTTGTCACGTACCGTGCAACTATCTAAAACGATAACATATCATATTTATGTAAATCTATCCCGACCTCTATTTATATATTTAACAGGTAATTGTTCACTTCAATCTATGGGTGAATGATTAGTTACGCAATTATTACATATTATCACTCTATCGTTCTCAGGTTCGCACAAGTGCCATCCTTCTTCACCCGCAAGAATTGGCCGGTCGCCTTGGACCTATAGCAGACACCCAAATCCAACCCACAAGGCCCTGAGTCTGTTACTAGAAGCAAGGCCCGCAAGGCTCTGCCCGAAAGGTTTAGGAGTGAGGTCAGGTCCATTCGCTACGGCGTTGATTCGAAAACTCAGGCCGCCGGCATGATCCGAACGGTCTCGCCCAGTTTGGCAGCATCATCCTGGCAACAGTTGGACAGTTGGGAATTGCACATTCTCCGAGTTGTCTGCATTGTTAGCCAATTGAACGCCCCTCCAAACTCTAAACCCAAATCTTACAGCTGGCTCCAGAAGTGTGTACCGTTTAACTGTCTACTTGAACGCAATTCGCAGCTGATGTTTGCCCCCCCATTTGTCGCCGAAGGCACGTCCCCAGTTGTGGCGCAAACCACAAATTCTGTGGATGTCGAAGAGGCCTGCCAAGGTCAGGCCATGGTCCACCTCTTGATCTCTCTTCATCTCTCAGCTCACCTCTCACTCTCTCGCCTAGCCTCCCCAGCTGGAACAAACATGGTCTTGGACTCCCCAGGCTTATCTGAAGGACCTGGGCTGCAACAATTTTGTTGAAATTCTCGACCTGTGCCCGGCTGTGCCATTGTCTTTCCATACTTCAAGGCCAGCGCAAATGCAAAGGAGCTCTCCCTTGTTGTTTTTTATATGCACGGGCTGCCCTGCCTAATCCAGCAGTGTTGGCGTATGGAAAAAAACATGGACTTCACAAACCTCACTGCAACATGTCCCAATGTCCCAATGCAATTAATGTGGCGTCTCAATGCAGTCTTACATGCTGTAATGTGCCGTCAGTGTGGAATCCAAGGTGTCGGAGTGTCCGAAGTCGTGCATTGGTTCAATCGAATCATATAAGCGCACAGCCCCTTGATGCAACATATCAACAACTATCAACGTCAACTTCTGCCTGCATCACTGCGTCTGGACCCATGTCCTCTCCAATTGGCTCAAAGTTCCAAAACCTCCGGGCATCAGTGGAAGCAGTACACCATCCACACACTGAGTACTCGCCAGGTTATGTTGCTGTCTGTCTGTCTGTCCGTCTGTCTGTCTGTTGGCTGGCTGGCTGTCTGGCTCTCTGGCTGCCTGGCTGCCTGTCTGCCTGTCTGGCTGGCTGTCCCTCTGTCTCTCTGTCTCTCGGTCTCTCTGTCTCTCTGTCTGCCTGTCTGCCAGTTTATTTGCCTGCCTGCCTGCCTGCCTGCCTGCCTGTCTGTCTGTCTGTCTGTCTGTCTCTGTCTGTCCCTCGGTCTGTCTGGTCTGGCCTGGCCTGGCCTGGTCTGGTCTAGTCTGGCCTATCTCCATCTTTCTGCAAATGTTCTCTCAGACTGCACTATCTGCACTGGACTGTGTGCACTCGCATTGGTGACCAGATCCACTGGGACTGTCTCACGTTGGTGTTAGTATGCTGATATTCCACTGATGTTGTTGTCAAGGACTGAGGTGAGGTTTGAGGACATCCTATACTCGTGGTCTAAGCTTGCGGCCGAACCAGGCTACCATCAAGAACATCCCTGAAGCCAAACGAGGAGTGAATCTTGAGCGGCCCCACGCATTTGGATCAAAGGCTGCTCCATTGCCATCAGCAACCTCAGCATGCCAGTGCCAGTGAGTACTGGATGTCCATCACAAACTATGTGGTGAGAAGCGGCCTCTAAAGAACCATTATCCTGAGGCGCGTACACCCTGCTGAACATTGTGGCCTTGGGCAAAGCTCATAGCGCAAGCAAATGCATCGAGGAACAAATACTCTGACTCTGATGCACCAATCCAGACTATAAGCATTAAAATAGTAACAAGAAGCTACTAGAAACAAGTGCCACGCTACTAGTAACAGATGCCTTACTAGTAGTAACAAGAAGCTACTATCCACTTAATTACTTACTTGTCTTCTAAGCACTCGGCGCAAGCAGCCACCCTTCAGCCGCGCTCTCACCGTCATTGGGCTGTTGAGCTTCACAAGGGGTTGCAGCCTCTTTTTCACCTGAAAGAGTTGAAGGACAAACAGCTGCGGTTCAGCTGGATGCCTTTTTCTAGTTTGGTTTCCTTGCAAGAGAAGTTGCACAGGCAGCACTGCGCTGTTCAATCAATCTATGACACGCAAAAGCGCCTCTGACGGAACAAATCTTTCGCCGTGCCTCAGCCATCTCAACTTCAGAGTGTAGGGCCACCTCGGCCAGCCGTCTGGTCAATGTGCATCCTGCCCTTGCGCAAAAGAATGGGTGTGTAACGTCTGTGTATGTGCCTCCTTCAGTATAGGAAGTGCACTGTGCTACTCGACGTCCTCTTTCCATCTCTCAAAGAGTGTTCTGTGATTGTCCCTGAGATGGAGACGAAACGATCAACGATTGACTTTCTCTTGTCCTTCTCAACCAGCGTCTTTGTGACTTTGATCCTAGCATGGCAGCTTTCGCGCTGGAGAGTCGTGTTACCTTAGTTTACAGTAAGTTTACGACTATGACGGCGGCATGAGAGGCAAGAAACACAAGGGCCTGAAAGCAAGGCCAAAACAAAAAGGCCTCCCAGCTTGACCCAAAAATGGCGTTCGTTCCTCACCCTGTGCGCAAACACAACGATGTCACTTGAAAAAATGAACAATCTATCTATACTGTAGACTGTATACACGGTCTGTATACACAGTATATACATGTATGCAACTCTGGATCATTCCTGTTCTACTTTTTTCACCAACACTGCAAGTGACACCTGGAATCTGTGCGATGAAGCTAAAACCACAATTTGCCTGAAGCTCCAGAAGATAGGGGACTTGCTTGCCCCCACGCTACCCCAGAGACAAGCTAGAGTCTAGAGAGCAAAGAAAGAGTCAATTAGTGATTGGTACCGAGTATCGGTATATTGGTGCGTTTGCATCCTTCTCATCCTCCCTCAAACGTGGCAGCAACACATTTTCTTCTTTTTGCCCATCACCCTTGCCTGACAGCGGCAACGGCCAGGAAAATGCAGAGGCCAAGACCGACTCACTGGAAGGAATTGAATATATCCTACAGTAAGAGCAATTGATTTTAGTGTCACATAGTGTCACAGACTCAGCTGTGATGAGGAAACTTCGTCCTGATTCAGTATGAGTAGCTTGCCACAAAAGAACTTCGAAGCAAAATAGAATCCCCTCCCACTGCTATTCGATATTCATTCGACCAAAACGTAAGAAACAACTTGAATCTGCCAAGCTGCAGCTTTCAGCCGGAAGCGCTCGTACCACCGGAATATCGCTCCCCTGGGCACCAAGAAACTGAACTCAAATCAAAGGTGCTTGTCCTTTTTGTATAATTTTGTGTTTTGTGTTTTACCCTTTTTTTCGGTGGGTAGGCCGCTAGAGGTGAGGTAGGTAGTAGCTAGAGGTAGCTAGTAGAAGCTGGGTAGCTAGTAGTTTAAGTAGCTGCTAGCATGGACGCAGGATAGTTCACGCTTCTTCAAGCAAGCTCCGCCGCCCAAAAGGCGGCGGGGGGAAGCTTCCTTGAAGAAGCGCTCGCACTAGTGATTTGGTTCCTAGATGTTTATGGAAAATTAAGTAAACGCAAGTAAACGCTACAATAGGCGCAAACTCAGGATCCCACGCTGCGAAGAAAAAAATCAGGTTGAGCGGCAACAGCAGAAAAAAGAGATATCCTCAACGTTGCTGACGCATACCCAATTGTGGGCAAAGTCACTGCAAGCTGTTTTCGTTCAGTGAGTTTGCAAACATACCTCGTAGCTGTAAATCTTCTTTGGCACTGCAAAACAAACTCAGTCGCTGACGATTATCCTTCTGCTCGTTGGGTTTCTGCGCAGCCAGTTTGAGAGAACAAAGAGCACACGTTTGCATAAGAGTTTGAAGGACCTTCAGACTCTCCCCAATCGGCCTCCTGGGCTACGTTGTACCATGCGGAATACTGAACTTAGCTGTGAGTGGTAAGAACGGCCACAAATTTCCTTACTTCTTCTCAGCAAGAATCCCTGCCGATACTGGAGGGTCCAATTACATATAATAATAGCTGACCGGCTGACCGTTGACATCGCAATTCCAGCTGAATGAGTCGGTGCAGGGAGCAAGGTGCGGTTCGTGTGCATCTCGTGGGGTCGTTCTACTTGTCCTGGTTCCTCTCCAGGACCCACAACGAAGGGAGTTATTTTGTTGAAACTTTGGTCCTGGAAATGTCACGGTCGTTCCTATGTTTATCCTTTTTCTTTTGCCATGCATCCGTTGCTGACAACCGCAGCAAGACTAACGAGATGCTTGCGCTGCGGTGGCGTGCTGCCACAAGGATACTTCATTTTGGAAGTCGAACGCATGATAATCAGAAACCTCCAACTGCAGGGCGTGGCAGTGTCAAATTGGCCGATTGCTCTGCTGAAGCTCAGGGAGCTTCGAAGGGCCCCGGGGCCATTGGTAGATGGTGTCCATTAAGGTTGGCTACCCACGCCGACCACCCGTGGATTCTCTGACCACTAGATGTCTTGCTTTCATCCGTGCCTCGTAGGTTTCCCGCCATAATTCTGGATTCTGTTGAGGCTGTGTTTGGCCAGACTCACTCTTGGAGGGACCAATGCAGTTCCTGGATGAGAGTCCTGATCGTTGAAAGAATATCTTCGCTGAGCATGTGCTTTGTACAGCTGTACAGCATGGGTTCTTGTCGCCTTGAGCTACTCACAGGCCAATTCAAAGGGCTCTACCCGGCCCATCCTTCCTGGCATGTTTTCGTGTTCCATTTCCAAACCCAGCTGCGCTTCGCGTCTTGACACCGAGCTTGCTTGCTGGTTGTAGAGCTGGCACTTTGTTTCTTCCACTCTTAATTCCTGGGCATGCTCGCCCTGCATGATGCGAGGTCATAGCATGGTCTTGAGCACCGGTACGGCGGCTCACACCACACCATAGGTGGGAGCTCCCCTCGGGTGGTTGCTCTCTCCTTGCGTCCTCTTCATTGTTTTACTCCCTGTCATCCACCTCCTGTGTCGGGTGGAGGATCGATGTTCGCTCTCTGACTGCATCGATCGTGCGGCGTTAAAAGGAACGGAGCCCAAAACCCTGTCAGGTTGACCTCCCTAGAGTTTTGACCCATAGCCACTTCAATGCAATGACCTCCTTCAGTTCGCTTGCATTTTCCTTATTCTACTCTCTCGTTGATTTTCACGATCCTTTTGCCCTTTTAAGGAAGACTAGTGGCAGTGCCGGATCAAAATCAATCACCATCTCTCCTGTGTTGTAAAGTGAAGGTCGTTTCCAAACAGGGCATAGACGGTGTAGACCTGTACATTTACTAGTAAATATATAGTTGTTCTCTGTTTTGTTGAGAACATACCGAAGTTGACGGCCATGTTCGAGGGCTCACCTCTGGTATGGTGGGTTGTTGTGATCTGAAGAGTCGGAGAAATCCAGTGGGCCTCCCAGTCTGTAGCGGATGCTTTCAAGAGCTGTACGATGGACTTTGACCTCACAAAAATGATAAAATTGAACAGTGCAAAAAAAACAAAAACAAAAAATGCACTCATGCTCTTTCACGGCACTAGAACATGTAACAGTCTGTTTTGCTCTAAGGTCCGAGCAATACATAAAGGTCGTGCTGTTTTCTTGAACGCTTGAGGTGCAAGAGATCTTAAATTTAAATGATTGGTCGGGCGGTGTTGGTAACATATACGGTATATGTTACCAACACCGCCCGACCAATCACTTAAATTACGAATGATCACTCCGAAGTTTAACTCTATACACAAAGCTTTGTGTTTTTCTGAATTTCCGGGGCACCGGGCTTCTGCAAGACATCGTCCAAACCACGGCCAAGGATAAACCGAGTGCAATTCTCTGCCTGCAACTCTCAGTTGCATATGTGGCTCGGAGTCTGGTCTTCAGTTCAAACCAAAAACCATGTTGCCTTAGGAGTGATAACTTGTACTTTTCGTAACTGAATGGGTCTGACTTTCCTTGTTTTTTGCAATATACACACACGCCAGCAACACAAGTAAGGTTCCTTGTGTCTGTGTATTTGGTGTAGTCGAGCACCCGCGCAATCTCATTTCACAACCCTTAGGCCTTAGACCTTAGACTTTCACTGACCCCTAACGGAGTGGCCCCAGCTCCAACCTTCGGGACAATTTCCACAACAGTTCTGGTGAAGCCACCCTGCATGGAAACACAACCTACACAAAGTGCAGTCTGCTCAAAAATGGAAGTGCCACATCTTTGTGTTGAACATCTACATAATTACTTACAGTACTTGCGCCAAGCCGGCTTACAAAGCCGCGAGCAAGTTTACTACGAATGCAGCAGCAAAAATAATGAATGAAGCATTCAAACAAAGGCAAGGGCCCTTCGCCTTTGTCTCCGTGCGGGAGATGGTGTCAAACCCACCTCTTGTGTGGTGCGGCCAGCTTTAATGATTGAAGAATTGTTCAATATGTTTTCCCACCCAAGCGCTGCTTCAAGGGCCAAAGCTGTCCCACGTTGGAGTTTGCTTGAAACTGCAATGAGTTGAAATGCGCGGTTCCTGTCTGTTTATCAACAAGCTGCTTGCCAGCCAAGCTAAACGTGTATATATATATATATACTCAAAGGGTTTTAAACTGGATCACAAGAATGTGTATATAAATATATATATATATATGATCCCACTCCAATCCGTGCCAGCATCACCGCACCTTTTGACGTGCAAGTGCCCGTGTTGGGCGCTGTCTGGTTACAAGGCTTGTGAGAGTCGGTCTCGGCGCATCGAAAGAGTTCTTGAAGAAGCCAGTCGAACGTCAAGCATTGCTCATCCCGACCCCACAACTTTGTGCACTGGCCAAGGTTGCGGCTATCTCGTGGCAGAGAAGGGGGGGATAGGGGTGGGCCCTGTGAGTCCACCAAACTTGATTGGAGTCTTTGCCTGTCAAAACAATGTGTTTTCGATGCGTGGCACTGCAGCGACCAAGGTGTGACTTGCAAGTTCTCAAGATGGTTCCCAGCTCTGGGAAATCACAAGTCAAAAGTCCAGTATTTTTTCGCCAGGGCATCCGATATTGACAGTAGTCAACGAAAAACAACTGGGCTGTCTGTTGAAGTATGCCAAAATCTGGAGTTAACCAACACCTGGAGCTGCCAGGGTTTTCAATGACCCAGGGTATTTGCAGAGAAGAACAGATCTGAGCCATGAAGACAGTCCAAAACAACAATAAGTTGCCTAGATGTATCTTGCTCATGTCCCCGTGTCCCAATTGCTTGCGTCCCCAAATAAAGTCATGATCATCTCGAAGGGGGGGAGGTCCCCCATCAAAACGCCTAGCTCTGCTCCAGGACTGGCATGGCATTCCAAACCAGACTAAAACAACCCTGCGCATCACCAAAAATGAAAGCAACTGCCGCAAAACCACACTGTTGAGTACATCACAATGTTCATTATATTCTATGCCCCAAGCTGCACAACGAAACCCCTGCTGAACCAAAGCTTTCGACAAGTGAGCTGAGCCGCTAAAAATCTCTAACACCCAGATTCTGCGGTCCTTGCTCGCTTCCGGGAGAAGAATCTTTGGGCCCACTGCTGCACCTGGCTTGGAGCTTGTATTGCTCGCCGTTGCACCGATCGTGGTAGCTTCTGGAATTCCTGGTTGAGTCGGGCGCTGGCCTCGTATCGCTTCACGGAACTGTCCGACAACCAGCGCCCTCTCTTTTTGACCTCCAAAAGACTGCGTTGTTTTGTCATCCTGTCGTATAATGGACCACTGTGCCTGAGCTGATAAAGAACTGAATGTGTCCTGCAAAGCCCTAAGCTTTCCAGTGAGTCTTGCCATGCGTCTCGAAGGCCTCTGTAATCTACATGAAACATCTTCACGCTTCTGCGCAGACTGAGATGATGCCTCAAGAGCGCTCCCATCCATGGAGTCGTCTGTGAATCCAGGAGTATGGTCTCGTCTGACATTCCCATCTTTGAGCATTCCTATCTGTCTGATGGGTGAAGGTTCAGGCAGAAGTATGGATGCTGTGCTGTCGGCCACACCAGGTCCTCTCGTCTCAACTCCAGCGCTTCCCCTGGCCTCAGGTAAGCGTCGAACATCAAGAGAACCAGAAGGGCGTGGTCTATCAGATCCCGCTGCACTAACTTCATGACAATGGCTGCTATCAACTCCCACGGCATTGGTGGGCGAGTGGCTCCTGGGTCCAAACGATGCCATCCCTGCAAGCACCGTCTGGACCGGGGGAGGTTCTCCTTGCCGGAAAAGTCTGGCTCGCTGTCCACCAAAGCCGCGAGATACTTTGTTGCATCTCCAACGTCGCTCCCTTGCTCGAAGAGCTCGTTCAGAAATATGCAGAAACTGTCGTCCAACTTCTTCTTCCCATGAAGGGAGAGCTTGCGACTCTTTGCAAACCGCCTGAAATTCTGCGCCCGAGTCTTGTAATCCACTGCCACTTCGTGCGAAATTGCATTCTGCTCTAAAAAGGTCACGAGGGGTCGGATGGCAGCCCTCGATGAATGCCACCCTCTTCGCTGAGCGTCCTTCTTTTGTGTCGCTCTGCAGGCTTTGCCGAAGGGCTTGTCGGCTGTTTGTGGGCCTTCTTGTGGAGGCCTGTGGCTTCGACTTGGCTGCCAGCAGTTTTCCGGGCAGGTTCCCAACGCCGAGAGCCTTCATCTGCTACGTTGATCTCACTGGGGATCCACGGAGGTTCAAGCTAGATGAAGTAGCCAGCAACAAACACGCTACCCGTCTACAAACCCGGAGTAATGGGAGTGAAAGAACAGTTCCAAGATTATCGCACAAATGAACATGCCTCTGTCCAAAAGTTGCAACTGATCTAAACTTCTGTCTCAAAGTGGCCACAACTGCGCGACCCTCCAACACGGTGATTGCTTCCGGGAAAAGCATGCGTTGTGAAAACTTCAACTGCCATTTTGACTTGTCCATAATGCTAGGATCCACCTCTGGAAAATCAACCCAAAGTTCAAAAGGATCTTCACGCTCCACTCCGACTGGTTTTGCAGCACGAACGTCCGAGAACGGGTCGAGCTGACCCAGAGCCTGCTGCCGTGGTCTGTCAGCCGGGTTCCTGCCCTTAAAACGCCAACCCTCTTTAAAGCTGCCCAATGAAGTGACTATATCTAAATCTTCTTGCTTTGAACAAACTGCTATGCCCGAAAGTGAAGCGTCCAAACTAGTCAACAAAGTTGAAGGAACCCTTCTCAGGTCTGCCACGCTCAGAGTGAGGAGCTCCCCAATCCAACGTGCCTCAATTGCTGCGGTTGCCCAAAGACGACACTTTCTGTTGCCTGCATATTGAACAAAGTCATACAATCTTCTAGGTATACTCAATAGCTCCCTTCTCAACAACATGAAGTGCACCGCATGTCCCAGCAGCTTCTGTATGGATAGCCCCGTAACTCTGGGCCGTCGACTGAGCCACTTGCATGCCATCTGCACCATATGAAGTCGATCAGGAGCAGGCCTCACAGTTCCACTCTCCCCGTCAATACTGTAACCTAGAGTTAGAGATTGAGCAACTGTGCAAGCATCTAGTTCTTCATGCACCAACAGCCCTACCTCTCTCAACCTCTTCACTGCTCCATCCTTAGCTAATTGAACTTGCCTCCGGTCAGTGCCAGCCACATTCAAGTTGTCCGCGTACGGCAGCAAAAGTACCTGGCCGTCTGCTAGACTGGGAGCAGGTTTGCCGTCAACTAGAACTCGATCTAGTGAAATGCCAGCGCCTATCTGAGATTGGACTTGATGAACCCTCTGCGACAACCACATAGCCCAGCACCATCCCATGGGCACCACTCGAAGCTGCGGATGAGCCCACCGTCATAGTTGAGGGAGCCACCATGTTCGGCGCTCACACCCCAATGCCTCAACAACGATGAGGGGATGGGCGGCATGCAGAACAATGAGCGAAGGCTTTCAGGAAATCGTCCTTGATATCCGATTGAGCTACAAACAATTTCTCCCCCGGGGGAATTGAGAGCCTTGCCCAGGATGCACCTGTACCCGGTTCGTGTCCCTGCAGTCCAATATAAGCCTAAGTTTTCCACTCTTCTTTGCAACACAGAATGGGGTCACCAAGCCTGTCGGACGATCAGTGAACTCCACCATGCCACTAGTGAAGAGGTCCGGATGAACGTGCAGTAAAGAGGAAGGTTATCTCTCAGAGCAGGATCCATGTACGTGCAAATAGGTGGCTGTGTCTCCAACAACACCCCGAACTCTTCATCACTCAACAACATACAGCGAAGGGGGCCCTCGATCGTTTCTCGGCCAACATCATCTAGAACCCCTCGAAGGTCTATCGCTTGGTTTCCAGTCGAGGGGATCGAGAGCAGGCCTCTGTCGTAGGGCCGCACCGTCGTAGTAACCTCGCCCGAATAGGACAGGTCTGTTTGCAGAAGCTCTTGAGCAGCTTCACGCGCTGACAAAAACTTGGTGGGTCTCCTTTGGTTGGAAAGATCCCTAAAAGCTCATGCTGACATGCCCTTTGCGCTGCAGTCGTGGTATGAGGAAAACAAAACTCACCTTCTCGGCTAGGAGCGTACATCTCATTCAAGATCTTGATGATTGAATTAACTCTCTCCACTGTGCCTCTAACTTTTGCCCTCCGCCTACGAGCCGACACGGAAAGACCTGCCTCGTGTCCCGCGTCATCACAAAGGGGAAGAGGAAAAAGCTCTCGCCAGCGGTCATCTAGATCTTGGCGCCCTCCATCAAATGAATTCTTCATGTTCATGCAATTGGCCTGCTGTGTCCTTGGCGGTGGCCCCCCCAGGCCCTGAAGCCTCCGCCTCTGTCAAACTCATGCGTCTCCCCCGCCGACGGCCTTGCCCTTCCCTGGGCTTCTGACCTTTTCGGCGGGCTGCTTGCTCTTCCTTTGCCTTCCGAGCCTCCTTTGCAATGGCTGCTTCGGCCTTCAGTTCACTGGCCACATGGGCAGCGAGAGATGAATCAATCCCAGCTCCCGTGCGCTTGAACTTCCAGCCCATCATGACATCTGCTGATGAATAGTCCGGCTGACTTGGCGAGATGCGATGTGCCTCTCGTATCACCTGAAGGCGGCGACAGATGAGTTCTGCTGACTGTAAAGCTGGGATGTTCAGCTGGTCCACCACCACCATGGATTCCAGGATCCTAGACAAACATTCATGCTCATAAACAGAACGATCACCTCGAGGGACATCTGCTGTTCGAAGCCAATATATACTCATGGAAAGTGCCAGGAGTCATGGCTTGGTCTCGCAACTCCTTCATCAATCGTAGTGCAGTTGCAGGGCCTGTCAACTGAAGCCCCCCTCCCGAAGGCTCTGCATTGTCCATCTCCGCAACAGCTAAGTTGAACTCCTTGCGTCGAATGCCCTGGGCGTCATACTGGATGGGAAGGAGTCTCAAATCGTCCAGACGATATGCGGAGGCCTCTGAAGGCTTGACTTTCCTGATCATCACCGAGGTGCCAGCTGCGGGCAAGATCCCCCTTTCTCCCATGACTCATGACCATATGGCCTGCCAGAAGAGCCGCTGGGTCTCTAGCCACCACATCCCCCTTCCTACAAGGGCCACCATCTTCCAATGCAACCCAAGTGTCAACGACCTCCACGGCTGCACCTTCCAAAGCGCCTGGCGCAGCAGCAGGTGCTGCCGCTCCCGGCCTAGGAGCTGGGACTGGGGCCACAGCTGGTGCTGCAGCGGCAGGGGCTGGTCCTCCACGCGCTGCTGTGTAGGCATCAGCCATGACCTGTCCTTGCAGTCGAAAGGCTCCTAGCTCTTGGGGTGTCATTGGATCAAACCCGTAAACGGGTTGATGTGTCCAGGGACCAAACCAGTCTCTCCGCAATAAAAGAAGCCGGTGTAGTCACTGTTGGTCACAGCTAGTTCTTCGACGTATACGTCGTGGTCAGGTGTCAATACGGCCCAAGTGGACCCCCCCTGCAGGGGCAAGGAGGGCCCGACAATGCCAGATTGGTCCAGGCTCGCCGTAGTTTACCAATGCTATTCCACCTACGTTCATTGCTGGGTGATTTGCATGAACCGACTGCTGAGCCTTTGCACTCCCTTTCCACCCTATAGGTGATCCAGATCCTCCCTGCTTCTGTTCAGGGATGCTCACAAAGAGAAAACTCAAAATGCAGCCCAACAGAAGTGCAGCCACGGAGAGTAAGATCAAAGTCGGCGTCACCGTCGAAGGGGGGAGAGGGCAAGTCGCAGGTGCAGTGGCAATGACAAGGTGCTGGTGGAACCACTGGATCCTTCACCAGGCCCTTCAACCAGAAAGCCCCTCCAATGGCAATCACTGCCACGAGAGCCGGGGCATCCATGGCCGTCCCTGCTGAAGCACTTGAGAGTAAAGAACAACGGCACTCTCCTCCGTTCTTTCATTCAAGAGTAAACTCAAACCATATAATATGTCCATATTTGTCAAGCAATGAAGCTTTTTTGTCTGTTTGGTTGATAGCAATGTGATCGTCCGTGCAAAAAATAGTCTTACAGTATCATGTCTATCTATTGAAAGAGAAAACATTGTGTTCAAATCAGTACCAACCCAGATCCTTCGCAGCATGCACGGCAAACTCTTCAGAAAAACACGTCAGCATGACATCCAGTAGTGTTCGTGACAAACTTCCGGAAATAGTCGTTCCTGCGAAGCGAAGTTTGCTTAGCTTTGCCACCTACAGGACAGGAACAATTTGGGATCAAGAACCATGGCAGGAGCAAGCGGTTTCCACTTGACTATGAACCCTTACAAATTTGTCTTGCTGATTCCTTTACCTGGTGAATGACTTCGCCCCAACTTCAACACAATTGCTCTTGGGCGCATCCTCAAGCGGAATTGTTCTTCCTCCTGGGACCTTAGCCAACGCTGGAAAGGCGTCCGCAACGAAGCCGTGTTGGAGGGTTTCATTGACTCTGATCGCGCGAACAAAGTACGGGGCGAGTTGTCGAAACCAAGACCTCCAAGGCAAAATGAAGAGGTCAAAAATAGCGATGGCCTCCAACCTAGTAGCGATGGGTTCCAACAGTTCCAACCTAATAGCCATGGCCTCCAACCTACCTACCACACGAAGTGTTGGAAGTTTCTTGCTAAGAAACCACCAGCGGGCAGCAGGGTTGGTAGGGTTGCGGGTTAATGCACCCAAGTTTGAAGTCGCCCTAAATGGCCCACTCCTCGGATCTTCATTAATCTCGTAAAATGTGTTGGTCTGCAGCTTGCATCATCCTCTTCACTAATTGTTTCCTCCTCTTTCGACGATCTGGCCTCAGTTCCTACAACCTCATCTCAGGCCTTGTTGTTGATCGGGTCCAATCTCTTCTGTTGTGGAGTTGCTATCTCATGCATGTTTTGGTTCACGCACGTTGGTTTCTTCTTTTTGCGTTCTCCCGAGCTCCCCATCGCGGCAGCCGGCGGGCAACTGCACACAATGACAAGCACTGCCAAACTGGGATATTGTTCATCTAAAACAAAAATATTACCACGCAAAGGGTTGGAAATTTCAGGTTTGTTTCGGGGACCACCAATCCATGCAGCACGGTCGCGTGCTTATATACGTTTTTCAGCGCCAAAATCTGGCAAGTGATCATCAGGTTCTCGTGAATGTCAAATTCGCAGCGTACATATTGAAATTACAGGGTTCTGTGGCTGTGCAGAACTGAAGTGACAATTTACGTACCACCGTACCACCTGTACTTGCTTTGCCTGTAAGGCCAAAAGACTGGCCAAACGTTATATAACTTGATGAAATCGACCGCTGCCGATCACTATGCATGTGCTACATTGCGCTACCACTTCGCCGTGAGTTGACCTCTTGCAGGTTCGCCCGTGACATTTCCACTCAACGCACGATAGCCTAAATTTCTGCAAGGCTGATCCACTCCAAGGCCCAGGGCGCAACAGCAAACATCATGATGAGCTGGACGTCGCCAAAATTAGTGGCCCTTGGCGAAAAAATGCCTTCTTTGAGACACTCCGGCTGAACACGGTCCAACAGCTATTGGCTTAACAAAGTCTATGCCGTCTACGCCTCAAACACAAGAAACCTAAGCAGTGCGACAAAAAGATTCCACGCGCTACTTGCTCACTTTGGAAGTTTAGTAATGTGATGTTGATATTGTGATATGGCCGGGACAGAAGCTCCAGTGTCCATTTTGGTTCAAGAAACAATGTACCGTTGGGGGTTTTCTTCAGTTCCAACGTATCTCCTTATCTAAATCTCTGGCTGCCTGGCTGCCTGCAGAAGCTTGAAAAGGACTTTGAAGTCTAAAGTTCCCATGTCCAAGGTCCAAGACAAAACTCTTTGTAGTAGTTTTTGTTCAATTCGTCAGCCGGCTCGTCTTGCTCCCGGGGAACCCAAAAAAGATTAAGTTCAAGTTCAAGGTCGGGGTGTTCAAGTTGAAAGGCAAATTCCATCAGAACCAAATAGGGGAACTTCGTATAGCCCAAAACCGGTCCAGCAGGTACGCGTTTGACAACTGTCAGTGAATCCCGCGACCTCCACTGCGCCAGCCCAAGACTTATACATCGAATCAGGTGCCAGAATTACGATGGGCAAGGTCACTGTCAGGAGCTCCACACTGGCGATTGCCTTGTAGGTCCTTTCACGAAAACCGGGCGCGGTGTTGTGGAACCTTTGGGTTTGCGGTCTGGATAAAATCGGCGTCAACCCAGAACACTTCGCCCACAAGCACACCTTTGGTGCCCCTGAACTAGCGCACGGGCCTCTTGTCGACTCTTGTTGTCAATCATTTCTGAAGAAAGGAAGAGCGATCTGGGCGGCCACGCAAAGCCCGAAGAACACTCCCCCAGGAATCCTCGCTGAAAGCGTGTACAGCGGTCATGGCCACGCGTTGCCCGTTGCCCTTTCAAAACATCTGCGCGGCTTTGCAGCCCATACATTTTTGTCATTAGCGCAGGGCAAAGGAAAGCAACTTGTTCATCACTGAAATGAGGACGACCCACGCAGATATGCTGCAACAGCCAGGTCGCACACATCGGGGACGCTCCCCGCATTTCTCTTGAAGCAGCTGGCGTGAAGCCCTCCAAGCTGCAGTTGGCCTGAAGTCCTTGAAAGGCCTTCCAAAATCCTTCACATTCTGGTCTGTGAGGCAGAACGGGCATAAACAGTTGCTAGCAGAAAAATGGAAAGAAAAATCTTCAGCAAATCATTCCAGGTCGCCTGCGACGCAAAAAAGCAATGTTGTCACGAACAACATGATGTCCCTTTGGTAAGGCACCGCGGCCAGCGAAGGAGGAGTGCAGGAAATGTACTCCAAGCTAGACGGCCTTCCAGTCAATTTGCAATTCCACAATTGTTTGGCGCCAGCCTCGCTTCTGCTCAGCAACGAGGGATCATCCTTCCATAAAGAATCCGAAACGCCGTAGCCCGCCCGGTTCCTAGTAACCCGTCGCCCTTGCTGCGCTCCAAGAACATCGACGTAGAGTCTACCTGAGTCTACCTCCGCGCGAGGCAATAGCCCATATAGCCACACAACACCCTCAAGACAGTCATTGCCTTGGGTACCCCGTCATGACCCTGAGCGTGGCTCATGTAGGTAGTCTCGCAACTCCATCCCACGCTCGGCGTCGGCTGCTTTGAAAAGACTCAAGCCATGAAGAACTGTACCATTTAATCCTTCTCCCAACCCCCAATGTTGCCAATCAAGCCCACCTCACGGTCCAGGGACCAGAGGTCCCTCGGCATCACGCGAACGAAGAGCAGCATTGAAAAGCTGCCTTGATTCTTGATCCGCTTTCAGAGCTCCCATCCGCCGGCGCATTGCTGATCTTGTTAACACCAATGCCTGGACAGGGAACCTGGCACCAACCGACAGCGCAGGTCTTCAAGTACTTAAGGCCCAACCGTGCTCCCCAGGTACTCCGCCTCTGTCAGGAGCTTCAGCAGCTGCGCCAACCAACGATCGCGCTCCTTCTCCTCCAGCTTGCGCCGCTCAGATCAGGTAACTCCTCCACCAAGGTCATACGCCGCCTCGTTCGCCATGTCCTCACCACCACCAACGCTGCGCCCGAAGAGTCCTGCGCCAAGCGATTGTCCACCAAGTCCTTGTCCCGGTAAAGTAGGCGTCTTGTAGGACACTCTTGTGGAACACTCTTACAGGACACTCTTGCGGGACACTCCTGAAAGGCACTCTTGTAGGACACTCTTGTGGGACACTCTTGTAGGACACGCTCGTGGGACACTCTTGTAGGACACTCTTGTCGGGCACTCTTATGGGACACTCTCTTGTGAGACACTCTTGTAGGACACTCTTGTGGGTCACTCTTACACGACACTCTTGTAGGACACTCTTGTCGGGCACTCTTATGGGACACTCTCTTGTGAGACACTCTTGTAGGACACTCTTGTGGGTCACTCTTACACGACACTCTTGTAGGACACTCCTTGTGGGACACTCTTGTAGGAAACTCTTGTGGGACACTCTTGCGGGACACTCTTGTGGGACACTCTTGTAGGACACTCTTGTGGGACACTCTTGTGGGATACTCTTGTGGGACACTCTTGTGGGACACTCTTGTGTGACACTCTTGTAGGAAACTCTTGTGGGACACTCTTGTAGGACACTCTTGTGGGACACTCTTGTGGGATACTCTGGTAGGACACTCTTGTGGGACACTCTTGTGCGACTGTCTGGTAGGAAACTCTTGTGGGACATGGGACACTCTTGAAGGACACTCTTGTGGGACACTCTTATGGGACACTCTTGTGGGTCACTCTTGTGGGACACTCTCATAGGACACTCTTGTAGGACACGTTTGTGGGACAATCTTGTGGGACACTCTTGTGGGACACTCTTGAAGGACACTCTTCTGGGACACTCTTCTGGGGCACTCTTGTAGGACAGTCTTCTGGAACACTCTTGTGGGACACTCTTGTAGGACACTCTTGTGGGACACTCTTGCAGGAAACTCTTGCGGGAGACTCTTGTAGGGCACTCTTAAGGGACACTCTTGTGAGACACTCTTGTGAGACACTCTTGTGGGACGCTCTTATGGGACACTCTTGTGGGACACTCTTGCGGGACACTCTTGTAGGACACTCTTGTGGGACACTCTTATAGCACGCTCTTGTGGGACACTCTTCTGGGACACTCTTGTGGGACACTCTGTGGGTCACTTGCAGGACACTCTTGTGGGACACTGTTGCGGGGCACTCTTGTGGGACACTCTTGTGGGACACTCTTGTAGGACACTCTTGCGGGACACTCTTGTAGGACACTCTTCTGGGACACTCTTGTGGAACACTCTTGTGGGACACTCTTGTAGGACACTCTTGTGGGTCACTTGCAGGACACTCTTGTGGGACTCTCTTGCAGGACACTCTTGAAGACACTCTTGTAGGACACGGTTCTGGGACACTCTTGTGGGTCACTCTTACACGACACTCTTGTAGGACACTCCTTGTGGGACACTCTCATAGGACACTCTTGTGGGTCACTCTTATGGGACACTCTTGTCGGACATTCTTGTGGGACACTCTTATAGGACACTCTTGTGGGTCACTCTTATGGGACACTCTTGTCGGACATTCTTGTGGGACACTCTTGTGAGACACTCTTGCAGGACACTCTTGTGGGGCACTCTTGTGGGACACTCTTGTAGGACATTCTTGTAGGACACTCTTGTGGGACAATTTTGTGGGACACTCTTGTCGGACACTCTGGTGTGACACTCTTGTAGGAAACTCTTGTGGCTGTGGGACACTCTTGTGACTCTTGTGGGACACTCTTGTAGGAAACTCTTGTGGGACACTCTTGTAGGACACTCTTGTGGGACACTCTTATAGGACACTCTTGTGGGACACTCTTGTGGGACACTCTTGTAGGACACACTTGTAGGACACTCTTGTGGGACGCTCTTGTGGGACACTCTTGTGGGACACTCTTGTGGGACACTCTTGTAGGACACTCTTGTGGGACATTCTTGTGGGACACTCTTGTGGGACACTCTTGTAGGAAACTCTTATGGGACACTCTTGTAGGACACTCTTGCGGGACACTCTTATAGGACAATCTTGTGGGACACTCTTCTGGGACACTCTTGTAGGACCACTCTTGTGGGACACTCTTGTGGCTGTGGGACACTCTTGTAGGACACTCTTGTGGGACACTCTTGTGGCACACTAGAAGCAGTCCTGCGAGCGTTTCGTACGAGACGTCCTCCAAAAGTCACGCTTGGAGGCTGCACAAGACGAGCGTTTCGTTCGAGACTTTCTCCAAAAGTCACACGTCAAGTCTCCAAAACGAGCGCTTCGTACGAGACTTCCTCCAAAAGTCACACGTCAAGTCTCCAAAACGAGCGTTTCGTACGAGACTTCCTCCAAAAGTCACGTGTCAAGTCTCCAAAACGAGCGTTTCGTACGAGACTTCCTCCAAAACTCACATGTCAAAGTCTGCAAAACGAGGATTTCGTACGAGACTTCCTCCAAAAGTCAAGCGGAAACACCCATCGGAGCACACACATCACGCAGCCCTGCCAAGCAGTTTCGCGAGTCCAGCCCCTCCAAACAATACCCGCTCACACGCCAATCCCAATGTGACAGCGACATTCACCTCTACCGCAACTCACGACCTCACGATTCCCTGCGCCTGCCACGAATCTTTCCGCATCCACACGTCTAACGCGCACAAAGTACTGCGCCTGCCACGAAATGTCACCTCCGTCACACCTCGCAACCTCACGATTCCACACCTCAAAATCAGCACAAAGTACTGTGCCTGCCACGAAAAGTGAGAATATCATCTCACGTGAGCTTCAACAAAATTTGCACCACACCACACGTTTAGAATGATTTCGACCCGTTCTGAGCATACTCCCATCCACCAAAATCGCCATTTCAGCTGAGACTTGTCACGAAAACAGAGCTTCGATGCCACACCCTGAAACGCAAATCCCAATGGCACGGCCACATCTAACACCCCAAAACAGGACTCTCCAACCGCTAATCCCAATGGAACTGCGCAGTAAACTGCGGATCTCTCAAACCACTGCGCCTGTGCAGCGAAATGCATCACGCTTCTTGCGCGACATGTCATTTTCAAGCAAATCACAATGGAATAGCGTTGCAAACTGACACGTGACACATCCATGAAAAGTCACTTGCAAAAGCTTCCCCAATGGCAGCGCCTTAGCGCTCTACTGCGGACACCTGCGAACGGTTGCGGACGTAGAAACAACGGATCGCGAACAAGGCTCCACCCCCAGACCCCCAAGCCTTCGCTACGCATTCGGGAAAAATATGTATATACACACGCGCACGCGCGGCAGTAAGACCTTCTCCATAGTCAGCTTTTGAAAAGAAGCAGTTATGTGCTTGTTACATTTGGAGTGTTTGAAGTTTGCAATGTATACTGCGGCACGTCGAAAAGCGGCAGCGGCATTCCTTGATTTGGAAGAGTGAACGGGCACGTCTTAGCCGGGACACGGACGCTTGATCCCGCGGCGCAGAAGGGGAGGTCGAGCGGGAGTAGCTTGGGCTAGCAAAGGAGTGAGGATTTGCGCGCCTATCGGTGCAAATGCCTGGACTTGAGTGAGTCATGTTGGGGCTCGATCACAAACATAGTCTTTGTCCTTTAAAGGGGCCTTGATTAAACGATCCAAACACCTTCTTGTTCTTCTCTTTCTTATCAACTCACTCAGAGGCCTTGACTTTGGCACCTGCGTGTGTAGATCTTTGGGCCGTGGACCCAGGCTGACTGGATTTGGCCAGGGCTGCCGGCCAGCAAAAAGGCGACGTCATGAGTCAGTGCGTATATAGAATTTATCTGTCTATCTATCTGCACCAGCAAGCCGGAATAAACGTTCGGCGCGTGTGGACACCGCGAGAAGCATCCACTCGACCAAGGACATGGTGCAAGCATAGTTTTTGCTAGGGGGCAGGAGCCCTATGCGGATATGTAGTCAACCTTGCAGGCATCCCCACCGAAACTCAATCCAAATCCATGGAGTTGAACTCATGTCGCTTTCGGTTCTCTATGGGCTTCGCGAGTTACGGGTTGTCCTGGTAACTCGTATCCTACTGGGTCCCTGTCTCCACTCGATTGCTCAGTGCCCATTGTCCATTGTCCAAATAGCCTCCAAATGCCTTCATGATGCTAATGATGCACTACTCGGCGTCCATTACATCACTTGCATCACCAGACCCCATTTTCACTACTTTTCTGACCCTCGCTTTGGAGCGCTCTCCCAAGGTCCTCCTCAGCAACCACCCCCCCACCCCTTAACTCACTTCGTTCGCCCTAAAAGCTCAAGCCTAGCCTATCGGCTGGCTTTCGTAATATACAAACAACAATGTACTGACATGTACTGACTGTCCGCCACCAATAAAATCGAACAATCCCACCGAGTGGCACATAGTCTTTGCAGCTGTCAAACTCATGTGCATACTCGACTGGTGCGCCCACCTGCCAATATGGAATCAATGATAAATTGAGAGGCACGCTCGTTCGAACCGATTCACTCCTGGTCTACATAATCTGATTGAAAACTACTTATCAAAACAAACACCAAAGTTTCATTTAAGTCAAGCGATCGAACTCCAGCTGCAGAGTGCCTGTCAGTCAATGAATTTCAAGAGCCAAACAGATCCGAGATCCATCTAGAATCGTCTGCCTCTAATATGATGCTGCCTCGCTCGGTCATCGGAGTCCGATTCTCGGTCTGACCTCCGTATATTTGCTTGGCAGAAGGTGTTTGAAGCGCTCATCTGCAAGCAGCTTATCCACCTGCCATTGCCGATGCACCAGAGATACACCAGCTTGAGATAACATATGCTGCTCCTGTCCTGCATTGTTGGAACCATGGAACACCTCTGCACTGGTACTTCGCACATGTTCAACATCCATGGAGCATCTCCACCAAAAGCCACACCAGCAAGAAGGAAAACCTACTTTATATAACAGTGGCTGCAGCAACTGCCCACGATAGCAGTTTGTCCATTGTCTGATCTTGAGCACATTGGTGAGTCCTCCAAACATGTTGGGAAAAACAATCACAGCATTAACGTGATGGTGCATGTTCAGATCTGATGTGTTGAAGATACTGCACTCTGCTTGGCTAACTGGATAGTAGCTGTGACTTCTCCAACTCCAACCTTTGTCTGATCTCACTTTCTTTGTGCCTGTCGAAGCTCGACAAGACCAAGTTTCCACTTGGCTTCCCGGCTTCCTTCGAGTCAGGCTTACGACACATGGCCTTGTGCAGGGGCTCATCACGGAGCTCTTACGTCTGACGTTATGCATGGATCCTGGCGGTTTTGAGGTGACCCGCACAGGTCCTCATCACCTTTCATGTATGAGCAAAAAATTGCAAACACGTTAATTCTCTTGCCACGTTGCTTTCTGTCCACGCTGTATTGTTCCTTCTCCCCAGTCGTAACTTTGCTTAGCAGCCTTGCCTCATTGTCCCCGATGAGAACACAGTACCTGAGGCATGCCAGGCATGGAAATTGGTTCTGAACTTGGAGCCGTTGCCGCTCAACACCCGAGCGATACCTTGTCGCATCTGGCCACAACCACTCTCCTGGGAGCCCGACTTTTTGGTGTTCTTTCGCTTGGCCTTGCACTGTTTTTCTGTTTTTTCTTGGAAGCGGAAACCGCTTCCAGTCCAGCCACTTGCATTACGATTTACACTGCACAAAACATATTTGATCATATTCGGACAGATTTGGTTCGACCTTGCTTTGCTTTGAATACTGTTTGGTTTGTGTGGGTGCGCAATTGTTGCACTAATTACAGTACCTCCATTCCTCTCCAACTCGATGATCAAGATATGCGATGATTCAGGATTATATTCCACTCGACACATACAGCATCATGTACTGATTTGTTGAGGAAGGATGACACACGCTGTTCATTGTTCCAAGTGCAATCAGGTGCTTTCGAAGGCTTTTGAACAGCGCCTGTCCAAAGGTCTCCACGCAGCTTGACATGGCCTCTCTGCAGTGTCAAGGTTGCAAACTGACTAGAGTCTAAACATCTTCACCACAAGCATGCCAAATGTCAATCCTGTGGTAGGCAACAGACTGATTCGCCAGTTTTGCAATGGGGATCTCTAAATCCTACTCCTTCTTTTGCCCACCAGCCCTTTGCCCCGAGTCTGAGTCTGGCTACCCTCATCGGTGAACTTTATATAAGCTTAGATGCTGTGGTTTTATTTTGTGATGTTGTGCGCGGAATCTGTGGGGCTAAGGCTGTTGGCGTGACTGAGCGTGAAGCAGCCGTTGTACACATTCAGAAAAAAGAAACTGTTGAAATTGCACCTGTGTTCTCCATTGGTTACATGAGAAACTGCCAAGACCAGGATATTTGCACTTGTTGTCTATTTCTGGGGAACTTGGTGCCCTTGCTACAGGGGCCTCACTCATTGGCCAAGCTGCTCGTTAGCTCGTTTCACTGGGTAGAACATAGCAAAGCAAAGCCCATGTTGCCCTGGCAATTAGTAATGCTCCTCATTCCGACCTTGCGTGCATGAAAAAGTTAGTCATTCCTCAAATTCGATAGCACAGATTGTCAGTGTTGAGGACACTGGCCACTGCAAGCAGCACAAGTTGACAACCCAGCGGAGTGCTGAAGATGCTTCCCTTTCCCCTCCTTTCCCTTCCCTTCCCTTCCCTTCCCTTCCTTCCATCCTTCCATCACAGAACCAAACACAAAGAAAATAAATATCTGAATCCAACACACAACATGTCCTTCTCTGCCCTGGAAAGATGACTCCACTGTGGCACGAACATATACGTAACTCGAACTGAGCCGACTCCCAGAACCTCATTGAGGCGCGTAAAATCCTCGTAGTGCTCCGGCTTCACATTGTCTACGGCCTGGAAACACTCCAAACATCCCTGTCATATGGCAACAGCGACGACCCCAACAGCGACGATGAGCAACATCAACGTCAAGTCGCTGTGCCTGCTTTTGAAGCGTTAAGTTGTTGGTGAACCCGTGCAATGTGGTGCTTTTCCTGCCAAGCATTCACATTTGGGTCAGCAGGCGTGGAGTTGCTACATCGTGATAATTTGCCCGGTTGGACCTCACAACCAGTGTTGAGCTTTGCAAACAAACTGGTACATTACAGTATTTCAATGTATTTCATATCGAGAGTCGAGAGTGCACCACCACTTGCACGACTGTCTGAAGACTCATCTTCCAAACCAATCAAGCAAGCCTAAGATTTAAGAACTTTTGTTAAGTACTTGCATGCACACCTGCTTGCAGCCGAGTGTATTGCGCGGCGGCCGCGGCAAAGATGACCCTTTTTCTTCAATCGCTGATGTCTCATTCTGCTTACTGGATACATTCAAAAGGTCCAACCGTCCAACCCAAATCAACTGGATTGGCGAGCTGAGCATCCAAACGTGACATGGAACAAAGATGTTGAGTACAGTGCCAAAGGCCCGTTATATACTACAATCAGTTGTCATGTTCAACTCGAGAGGGTGCGCGGGCACAAACGCAATCTCTGGAGAAAGTTGAGGGTTCAACGAACCAAAAACAAATACATATGTTATATATATATACTTATGTGTGTGTGTTTGAATCGCATTGCTCCTTGCCACGAAGTGGCCTCTGGCCGACAGCGTCAGCTGATGCTTGCACACCAGCTCACACAACTCGGTTTCCAGCCATTGGACTGATTCTGATTCAATGATAATTATGATGAGCACGATGGTGAAGCAGCCATTAGTTCATTACAACAAGGGGTTCCTCTTGAGCAGTCGAGGCATCATCTTTGTCGCTGATTTCGCCGATTTGTTTTTTTGGATTGACTGAGGGTTGCTCTAGTGACTCTAGTACCTTTGGAGGAAACATGAGGAAACCGAAAGCAGTCAGAAATGAGCGGATCTGCAACTCCTAGCATGTCGAAGGTTCAGGCTGCCAAGCAACAGCATCAAGCGAAACTCAAGGACTAGGAAGTGGACCTGCTGCATGGCACGCCAACAGAGACCAAATCTCGGTCTTTGCTCACTGGAATTTGAATAAGGAATACGACAGATCAAGGGAGGACACACACTAGCTGACCAGCCGACCTTGATCTCTTTTGAAGGCACGTCCATATCAGCACTCAAAATCCCGGCACTAACTTGGCTTGAGCCGGGGCTCAATGGGTTTAAAAACCCAAGCCCTCGAGCGTGGCGGCAGTGAAGAACGGAATTGTACTTCAGCAAATTGAATAACTAGTAACTAGTATATCAATTAGTAAGGGGCAGCTGGCGGTGGACTTAGCAAAACTGCTTTAGAACGGTCAATATCTTCCCCTGCAGTTGGTTCATGAGAACTCTCCACAGCTCCTGTGGTCTTCATTCATTCAAACAAACGAGATCGTTGACAGCGGGACGTCCACTTGCCAACTTGAAAAACATCATCAGCGCGACGCAGTTGTACTGTCCAACGTAACATGTCCCTGCACTCGTGCCATGGAGAAGGACTGATTGAAACAGCAAGAATTGAGGACAATGTAGCTTTTCTGTTGCAAATAAGCGCACGAAGACACTGGCAAAGAAACGTTCAATGCACAATTTGTTGAGATTCTATTCGATCTGCTACCACCATCGGAAGGCAGTGATGTGCAGGCCAAGTGAACCACAGTACCACTGACTTGGAGGGCAGAAGGCCCACGACTCCAAGGGCAGAAGGCCCAGGGCCGTTTGAGAAAGTTAGTCAAAACGCGCTGCGACTCAGAAAATTCAGCTGCCAGTGCAACTCCGGTTCGTCCGGGCAGGGAACCAGGTGTGACATGCCTTGATCTTGACTTCCAACGCTTGGATGTCCACTGAGGAGCAGTTCCGGCATCAAACAAGCAGAATGATTCATTGAATGAAGTAGAACTGTAGTGCCCATCAAAATCCATCAAACAAACAGGGCACTGATGGGCACATCAAAACAAAGGCCTGGTCACTATATAGTCATCACCACTCTAGTCATCACCAGCTTTATATGCCTGAAAAAGGGGAGGGAGGAGGGGTCGTGTGCAGCATAGGTTCACTTTAGTGTCGAGAAGATTAGCAGATTAGCACTGGCGTCAAGGCTTTGCACACCGGGAACACGTTGCTTGAGAAGCCGTGCGTGCAAATACGGTTTCTATGAACAAACCAACTGATCGGTGAAATGGATGTTGTCGTCCGCTTTCCAAGGGTTTTCTTTTGAACTGGAGAAGGGGACAAACGAAAGTTAAAGGTATAAACGTCGAGGTGGCTTGGCACAGTGGACTTTTCCAGCATGGCGCAACGCTGAGTGGCAAACGTGTAGCCAAATGCCTGTGTGCATGTGGGCGTGGGTGTGTCGGTGTGCGTTTGTGTGTTTGTGTCTGTGTGTGTACCTGCCTTCAGAGATGATGATTTTAAACTACTGTATATTGTTGCTGACTTCTCGCCTTACTGTTTGCTCAGGGCCGTTGACAGGTCCAAGTTTCAGCGCTTTACACCGGCAACACAGTATCTAGAATGTATATAAAGGATTATAAAGGGTTAATGCTCACCGAGACCCACCTGAATCTATCTGAATCTCGCTCCTTGGAACTCTTTCTCAAGTGCGTCCCACTGCGGTATGCTGTGACGCGAAAAAAAACTTATTATATCAATGTTTAACGCCGGCTTCAATTTAAGTGTGTCTTAATCTGCCACTTGACACATACTTCGCAGTCATGTCTATTCCTTCCGGTTGCGTTTCTTCTCCGTTTTCTCTGCCTTCCTAGAGGTTTGTAGGTGTAATCCAGGTTGCGCCGGACATACTGGGTTTGTTTGCGTGCTCCCACTGTTCCAGACGGAACACAGGGTGGCTCTTGATTTATTTGCCGTTCGGCATTTTGCTCGGAATTATCAAGTCATTGTCCCTCCATTCGGTTGTGTTTTTCTTCTCTGCGTTTCTCTTTCCTAGAGGTTTTTTGGGTGATACTGATACTGTACACGATTGAAAATAATGAGTAGTAGTACGCAGTAGTGTCTCAAGGAAAGTCTGTGTGCCTGTCTGCCTCCGGTCTGTCTGTCTCCCTCTCTCTCTCTCTCTGCGTCTCTGTTCGTCTGTCTGTCTCCCTGCCTGCCTGTGTTTGCCTGCCTGCCTGGCTG